GAAGATCCTAATTTCAGCTAAACCAGAGTTGTTCACAGGCACAAGATACAGCTTAGAGCAAAATGGCAAGATCATCACAGCACTTCCTCCCCTTAGGGAAGACACATGTTCCAGTCCTACTCAGGCAGACTTTTGCAGTGTGGCTTCGTGCCCAAACCACTGGCTTACGGGATACTCTCATGGAGCTCCTACACTCCTCATAAATAACTGTATATTCACTGGAATAGGAACATCTTCCATAAAGCATGCTATATACCATTAACCACTAACATCAGTGTCTCCAGTCTGTGATTCACTCTAATCACCTGCCATGGGACTTCACTAAATCAAGTCATTGATTTCAGCATTTTCAATTACAGTTAAAATGATTTTCATGTGTGAGAATTCACCAAGTTGTTATAATAGTTCACTAAGTTTGCTGTCCTTTTATCATGACTATGTGTTTGACTACATGTCTGTTTGGATCTTTAACTTCAGGCCATGCTATCTATAATACAAGAGGCTCTCACTCACCCACTTAATGTGACTGAAATTATACTAGGAAAAAATGTGAGCCAGTAACCAGATATCTTTATATATGGTATTTGTAATGTAAAAAATAGTAAGTCCTTAATCTTAAAAAAAGTGATGTCCTGACCCTGTTATTTTAGTAAACTTTTTAAATAGCCCATTTGTGAATGCATTTTTTTTCTTGGTGACTAAGCCAGGCAGTCATGTAATGCTCTGATTCATTCTGCTACACCATTTTCCATCACAGTAAGTTTGGTCTATCAAGTTGATCCTATCAGATCCTATCAGACAGGCTTTTGGGGAAGGGGACTGGGGGGGTAGAGATACCTATCTTTAGCAACACTGCCACCACATGCTTCTTTGCATTGCTCTAGTGACAGGCTTCAGCTTGACCTCTGAGGAGATGGTGTTCAACCTCTAGACAAAATTAAAACCAGTGGAGTTTGAAGATATATGCTGATAGGAAGGTACGAAAGTGCAAGGTAAAATAATTTACTCCAAGAGTCAGGAGGACTGGGTCATACCAAGATAATCAGCACACAGATGGGTGTAAGAAATTGAAGGTACAAAAATGTATGTGAAGGCACATAGGATAGACATGTGAATTTTTGATGTTTAAAACATGGTTTCTCAAAAAGCACAACTGGAACAACGCATGACACCAAAAGAGAAGAGCAGCATGTGAAGACCATAAGAAAGAGAAGGCAAAGGAGGGGAACTAGGAAGGAGCTGCCATTGATGCACATGCTAGTAAGGCAAAACTGAGCATGGACACGGAGTAGGCAGATGTCCTCTGGCTCTATTAGTCCTTGCTAATGGTTATGTGGTGGTCCTACTACCAGTCTGTTCACCTCTGTCCCTCCTTCTGTTTATGGCACTCACCACCATTACTTAAACATTAGGAGGGAGTTAAGAATGGATGGGGTCAGAGCAATGCTGTTACAGTTATTCCAATCTCTCTTCTAGTCAGCTGCCCATCTGAGCATGATTTAGGCATAGATGCAAGAGGAGAAAAAGAGTCACTAGCACCTCCTCTCAATGGAAGGATAAGAGATAAAGGAGATGAAGGATGAAAGAGCTAACAAAATCCATCTCTCTATCCAGACCTTTATTAACTCCCTCAGCAGCAAACAAGCCATCTTCTAGCGTTTAGCTGAAACTAGCTTGTTTTGCTATGCTTTAACAATTCCAAACTACCTCCTGTCCCTTGACACAATATCTAAAAATTCACACTCCAAACAGCAACTGCTGTAATAATAACAATACTTACATTTCATTATTTAACCTCACACTATTAGTTGTGAGGATTAGTGCTTAATTAATTAACAACACTTAGAATTTCCACTTAGCACTTTACCTCTTCAAAGCATCCTACAGACAATACCTAATTAAGGGCAGAGCTCCGCAGACACTTGACCTCAGTACTTCCCTTTGACAGCTCTGCAGCCAAGACTTGCTCACATGGTGTAGGCTGAATTCAAGTTGAAAGCCCTATTGACTTCATCAGGAACCAAGGAATGCCCTGGCTATCAAGTGACTATCTTTGCAAATTCCTTTTCTTTTCCTGTTGCTTCTGGTTGGTTACTATTCACCCAGGGATCTAATTATTGGCTAATGTGATGGGTGATAATGTGAACCTTGTATTAGTGTTATCTACAAAGCCTTCATTCTTTGGCTGGTGAAAATCTTATTCTCAGTCACCTGGTTGAACTGACTTTGGATAGAAAACGTGTTAACCACAAAAACAGATTATAAAATGTCAAGACAGAGTTTTTAAGGGAGATGGTGCTTTTAATCTATCAGTCAAATGCCTGCTATGAAAGTGCCTTTCTTGTAAGCACCCCAGGGTGCTACACAACCTCAACAGACAATATAAACACATAGCTTTTATGGTTCACTTTACCATTGGACATTGACTCTGAACCTGTGAAACAGAAAGGAATTGAATTTCATGACTGAACAGGATAATGTGCACAGGATTAAGTAGACAACACTGGTAGAAGCAGGAAAGCAATATGGCACTGGATGCTAATAGATTAAATTTACAAATAAGAAACCAAAGGAATAAAACAATTCTCAGAAAGCTCTCATAAACCAGCAGTAGCACTCAATGCTTCATATCAATCCACTATTTTTTTTCAGAGAATCAAACATGCTGATGGGTTTATTCAAAGTCCCTGACTATGGGAACCGAACAAAGAGAGCTCTAAATACGTAACAGGTCCAGCCAAGAGAATTATCCAGACAGTATAGACAGTATGGAAAGAAACTTCTGCCAGAGCCAGATTGGAAGAAAAAGAAAACATTCATCACAATTCAAGAACTTGTCTGGTGTCTCAGAGGATGTCTTCACAGGGCAGTGGCTGGCAGTGTCACAGCCTGGGGCTGCTGCTGCTCAAACCTGCTCCAGAAGAAAGCAAGCCATCCAACATAGCAACACGGCTTCCAGCTCTGAGTGGTGCTGTGGTGTGTCACATGCATGTCACAGCTCACATCAGATAGGTCAAACCGCTTTCTCAGGAAGCCCCTCTTGCCAGATAAGCCACAGCTTGATAGATGTTAGAAATTTAAATGGTTTGGTTCTTTGAAAATTGACTGTATTGAACAGAATCTGACCTAACCATTTTGGCACTGAATTCTTTCACAAGGATAACTGTGTATTGCTAACTGCTGTGTCTTTGTGCCCAAAATATGCTGTGTTAGTGTTATGCTAACTTCTAAAATCCCAAGAGTTTAAAATAAAAAACAGGCCTTATTATCCCTTAATGTAATTTCATTTAAACTGCAGGCGGATGAGGCCCTTATTGCCATGTTCATCCTCAAACTGAGAGTCAGATACCCATCCTAGACTTCTCTGGACATGTATGTTTGGAATTCAATACCTGCCTTTCATCTTCCCCCCAGGCCCCACAAATTCTTTTCCTCTTACTCAGCTTCAACTTCAACCCTCCAATATTCCCTTCCCACCAGTTACCACCATCCAGGACTGCCTTATCTCAGACATCTAACAGCCTAGCCAGCCCCAACCAGCTAACACCTAAGCTCTCCATCACTTGGTTATCCTGCAGCTCTTTCTAACATTTCGCACCTAGGACCCGTCCCAGACCCATTCCAGCCTGCCCATAACCACTCCCCTGGACCACTTCTGCATTGGTTAAGGCTGGGTCCACTGATGTATATGGTTACATGCGAAGTAGGTAAATCACGCACTTTTCTTAATGAGTTTCCTAAAATGTAACACTCAAGACAAAACCGTGAGCTGTGGTCACTGTTGATCAGGAAAAAATGCCTGTTAATTAGCATGCACATTGGATCAGACCATTAACAAATGCACTGTGAAGCTACTATGGAAGCTAATTCAAGTTATTATCTAGGTAACTGTGGTTCTGTTGCCAGCACAAGGCTGTCACGTGAGCCCGTCTGATCACTTTTGTGTTTACATTTGCTGGGCATCTGTCCTAGCATCTACAAGCCCCTGACATCTTGGAGGAACACATGCTGAGATACTTCCTGACTGGGGTCAGCTTCCAATACTGGAACTCCACCATGTGCAGCTCAAGATGTGAACCAAACACAAGCATAAAAATACGGTTAAGAAAAAAGCCTGGCAATTGGAAGGAAATCCTCTACTCTGATATATGACAAAAATAACAATTATAATGACTTATATAATAAGGATTTTATCTCTCATTCTCCTGTTTTACTCAGCCTGTACAATGAAACAGCTTGGTCTGTTTAGTCTGTCCCACAGTTTGCTCTCATGCTGTCATTACCCTATGAGGTGTTGGGGTTTCATTAGTTCTATGGGGTGTTGGGGTTTCAGAGCTTCACAGGACTGTGAATTCATTTCTGCTGTTCATAGTGCTCTCCTTGTAAGATGTCACGGGGAAATGTCCATAGAGTAGTCAGCAACAGATCCATGGTGGTCATGAATGTAAGTTCCAGCCTGTATTTGCTCTCTGCTTCCAGCCATCATTGTCTAATATAGTTGTGACAAGTCATACTTTTTGGCTATCATAGCCTCCTACAGCAATGAATTTCATGAGTTATACTGATTGCATTGTTGTACATGTGCTTCTGCTTTTGCTTCATCAGAAGAAAGTGATCCTGCTGCTGCACCACCATGGTGCATAGTATTAGCCTTGCAATTTAGCCGGCACAAGGAGTGCTGAATGGATTGTTTGATGATTTGCAATACAAGACATCCTAATCTCCTTGCCTAGTGAAATCGCTCAGCACTAGGGTTAATACTGAAGTGCAGGCCACCTGAACCTACCTTTAAAGGGCAGGGTATGCTCCAGGGCAAATATGGTTGACACAATTACAGTAGGTAATATATTTTACTTAAAATTTTATCACTATGCCTATTCTGAGCACAGCCTTTCAATTAATTGATTCGTAAGACTTGATACAGACAATATTGAAATATTTCTGACAACAGCATTTTCACAAGTAGCATTACCCATCCCACCCCAGCTTGAATTTCTCACCTTTGTGGTCCACAACTTGACTGTCCAGTCAAATGATGATGTGACAAAGAGATGGGAAAAGTCAATTGGACCCACTGCCATGTGACAATTGATTCCTGTGACAGGTCCTTGGTGGCCTTCAAAAATTTCACCAATGCCAGCTTTACTGCAGGAAGAAGAGACATTTGCATTCAGAGAGTGATTTGACATCATTTTTCTTTGCTCTTAGGTTCCTGTTTCAAGTTCCATTTAGTCTGTAAATCTCTCTTCTTTCAGCAAGACCTTTGCCTGCAGAGGTTTACTGCTGTGGGCACAATTAATGCTCAGGATCCAGCACAGGGAGACCTTCTCTTACTTCTGAAGAATTGCCTTACTCACTTTTACATACACCATCTACTACTGTAGCTTGAAATAACTTTTATGTATAATTATAAAATAATTATAAATTATAATTAGACTATAGCTTATGCCTCTGAGTAAGCCATTGTCACAAGGAATAACCATTAAAATAAAAATGCAAATATGTTAATGACTTATCATGAGCCATTATTTTTCTCTTAAATATATAAAATAACTTTCCACAGCAGCCAGTCAAGTCACCAGGAAGCAAATCCTTTTTCACAAGAAGTGAAGGAACTATTCCTGTGATCAGCTATCATACAGTCATCACTTTGAACAAGGGGAGATGTGCATTTCATTGGCCAGAGGCTAGAATAGCTATTAGGAAGGAAAAATACAATGCTGTTTAAGATAGAACGTGTGTGGTTTTCTTCTTCCTAGAAGCAAATTATGCCAGATAAGTTGTCAGCACTGTCTCACAGTGTATACAGAAAGGGGAATCATGAAATTACCCTTTTAGTTACATTATAGAAAAATTGACAATGGAAGAAAATACATTAAAAATAGCCACAGCTCTGACAAGGCTGCCAGCCCTGTGCCAGAGTGAATACAGCATACCCAAAGAGATGAGGAGCTGCACTGGAGGAAACCGGTCCCTCATATTGCTTGCGTGGTGTCCCTTCACCTCTCCTGTTGACCATGACAGTGTGGCCTCACTTAGGCTCCCCTGTCAGACCTTGCAGCATGTGCTGGAAGCAGGGGATGAGTTCTGCAGTGCCTCTGCAGTGCTGGGTACAAAGCACACCTCTCATTTTATCCCCATCTGTTTGCCATGTAGTCAGTGGGATAAGGGGAGTTCTGGAGCACTGAGAACACCGTGTGTATCTGCTGTGCTTTGGGACACATTTTTCCAGAATAACATATGGCTCTCTACTGTGCTGGGCTGAATGACACAGGAGCCTCTGGAAATAAAATGGGGATGACAGCAAAAAGCTCTAGGAAGGACAGGCAGGAGCAGAAAAGGAGTGTGTTTGTCGATGGTCAGCAGAAGGTTTGCTAAAAAGGTGGGCTAACAAGAGGATCTGGCACCTTCCTCCTCTTGTAAGGAACAAACCAGGCATGTCTGAAAGATCAGAAGTGAGAAATGCCCTTGGGCATGCTTCATTTATCCTAGCAGCCTAAGACTAATTCAAACCATCAGCCACCACACAGCCTATCAGTATAATGCCTAAATAGACACAACTTTGCAATACTGTCAGCAGTCAGTAAAATATTTTAAAATAAAAATTATATTTAAAAATAAAAAGTAAAACAGTACTTATACAACATTAGGAATGTGTAATAGAAGCCTTACAATCTTAAACCAGTGTATCGATGTCTATTTGGTCAACAGAACCGCAGAACATGATAAAATATGAATTCAGAAAATATTGCAAACTAGTGAAGCATGGCAGTGAGCTTTAAATCTATCAGTGAAAAAAGTCTGTTCTTTACAAAAGCCTTTCGGGTGTCCCAGAGGATGAAACTACTACCAGAAGCTAACAGAGACCACTATCATCCTCCAGATTTACAGGGTGCAAAATAAGGAACTTGCAGTATTGAACTACAGCCTGGGTTATGCAAGGAAGGGATATGCCCACTGTGTGTGAGAGAGCACAGAGTACCAGTCCTGGGAGCGGGTCAGCCAGAGCTTGCATACCCACGTGGCATGCCATGGCTACATCCCTGTTAGCAAATAAACCAGGCGGCATCCCAGACTGAGGGCAGACAGTGTGGCATGGCTCCTGGATGTACAACAAAAAAAAAAACGGGTGGGCATGTCCAAATTGCCCACGGAGAGCAGGCGCCAGCAGGGCTCAGTCTCTAGCCTGGCTGTGCAGATGCAGCCCGCAGTGCTGCGTGGGAATACCTGGCGCTGGATGGCCGTGCCTTGGGATGCGCATGCTCTGTTTCTCACAGGCAAGTGTGCCCATGGTGGTTCTTCTCTGATATATGCCTGTAGAGACTGAAGATGGAGCTGAGGATGGTAAAAAATAAAGCAGATTACCATCTCTTACGAATGGTTTAGGCCTGAATACCCTGCAACAAAACTGTCTCCTAGGGCCTGATTTGACCTGCCCAGACACAGATAGCTACATCTCAGCTAGCTGTCTAGATCTCTGCCTCACCTCATGGGTGAGAAGGAGGCATTTCTGAGATCCCAGTCATCTCTTCTTCAGGCAGATGTCTGAAAAAGGTAAAGGAAATCAAACCCTAAAAGCAGTCCTTGCTCCCCACCAACTATGCAGTGAGCCTGGGGCAACTACCCCAGTATAACAGGCTGTAGCACAGATGCTCAAAGTCAGGTGACTCCTGTCCTAGTCGTGTGAAGTAGAACAGTACAGATACTGTTGATCCAAGAGAAAAAACATGAAACATTCTCCACACACAGTTGGCTACTTCACGCCAATGCAGGTACACAATGTTATTTAAGTACAAAATGCTGAACATCACCTTCCATGACGACAGGCCGTGTAGACTGTTCCCTCTTCACTGCCAACGACAAAGTTATTGACATCTCCGGTTGGGAAAGCCATTCCTGTAACTGCCACTGGTTTGGACTTATTGTACACCAGCTCCATGCTCTCCTACCAAAACAGGTCTTCATTATTATTCTGCGATCATCCTTTTGTTTGGCTGTTGTAGTTTTGTTGTGGTTTTTTTATTTTTTCTAACTAATTTGTCAATGTTACACAAGGTAGCAGGAAGGGAAGAAGAAATAATTTCATCCAGCCACAGGACTTCCGCTTCTGCACAGGACATTGCAAGAAGATGCAGTGTCACACACTAGGATGCACTGCTCCTGCCATCCCTGCTGCTGTCTGTCACATGTTTGAAAGCATCTGGAAAGCACTGGTCTTTGCTTCATCGTCTTAAATCATGCAGAGATGACAGTTGAAAATTTAAAATCTAATGGTGCAGAAACTAAAGATAATACCTTAATGGTTACACTTGCCAGCCCCAGGCTCTATTAAAACATGCAATACCCTTCTATTTACGAACATTTTTGAAATCAATTGTTTGTCAGGAAACAGGTGTAATAGCACCTGAGGCATTTATCAGACTGTGCCATTTGTCCCTTTGCAGAAAAAAAATTAAAAGTTGGGGTCCTGTCACTATCACCATTCAAAGTATTGCTTTTCAGGGATTTTCTGAGGTAACCATAAACACTCCCTCTAGACTCCACCATTAAGCTACAAAACAGCAAGCGTATTTTCTTTTTTCATTTGGTAGATACATTTCAAAGTAAATCAGCATGCCCATTTTTGCTATTGCAAGTACAACCAGCGTGAACAGTTTGTGGCCATTGCAAGTTGTGTATGCTTTGAGCAGATTTTGCACAACCTTTTGGTTGTTCAGCCTAAATGGTGTAACCCAAGAATCCACAAAGGGGCTGAACAATTTGGCAATTTTCATTTTTAGCTATTTAAGTGGATATGTTTTCTGTGTTTAAAATGTCTAAGGTTCTGTTCTTCTAGGGCCAAAGCCTGTAGTGTTCTTCTCAGAAGGGCTTTTTGCTTGCTGTAAGCTAAAGAAAGTGGGCATCCCTGTGAGAAGAGAGGGCTGCAAATCCATAGAGAAATACTTTTGCTTGGTTTATACTTTTCTTTGAAATACATTTGGTTCTACTAAAAAGGCAAAACAAGACCTGGAAAATGCTTTGGCAGAGCACCTGTGGACCATATATTTCTGTAAAAATCTTCTGGGGTGAGATCAGCATTTAGTGTCTCTGTGGAGACAGAGCCAGATACTGCGGTGGACCCTCTCCTCCGAGCGCCTATACCATGGCTGTACATGAGTACTCTGGATCTGTGTCTTTGGCAAGTTTCAGACTGACACACATCAGCAACACCCTACTCCTCACAGTTTAAAGATATGGCATGTAGCGTGATGTCAAGTCCTGTGCCTTTCTCTTCTAAATCACCATGAGCCAAACTTCAGCGTAATGTGGGGTGTGTTCCCATCCTTGCTGAAAGCCAGTTTTGGAGCAGGGAAATTCCATCTGAGTGGTGAAGTACTGGAACGGAAAGGTTCACAAATCTCTGCTTCAAAATTTAATGTTCCAGTAACTAAATACATAAGGGAGGGATTTATCTTGATGCTTAAGTGAGAAACTGGGGAAGGGATTCAGGTGCCTAAACATAGATGTCTGGGCCATTTTAGATGCCTCCACTTCTATTCCAGAAGATTACTGGTTTCTCATAGTTCCAGGACACAGTTACCAGGCCTATACTGTTGCTTTAGATGAGCATGAGCAACAGGATCTAACTTTGAAGTTGTCCTCACTTTGAGTAGGGGAGTAGATGGGATGACTTCCAGAAGCCCCTAAGATTTCACAGTTCTGTACCCCAGGGCTTCTGAAATGGTATTTCACACTGGGATGGGATGAGTCGGCCTCTAGCAGTGCTCAGTCTCTCTCTACATTAATGGTAAAGGGAACTCAAATTACTAGCTTAGACTTGACACGGACCTAACTTTTAGATGGCTAAGGTTAGGACACAGGAGTCCCATCTCTTGTGTCAACACTGCAAAGCAACTAATTCGATAGTAATTGCACATTAATGCATGATTAATGGATGATTAATGGAATCATTAAGAGGAGTTTCTACACAGTTTTCTGAAACAAGATCAGATCCCATGATGCTTAGTAAAAAGTATTTTTTTTTTTTTCAAAGAAATTATGTATAAAAAATGAGTGATGCATTGGAATAGAAAATGTACTGCTCCAGAAGATAACACTTAAAAGATGCTTTACGTAGATCTTTTTCAGCATCAGATTCTTTGTTTAGTTTCCATTATTATAATCACTAGTGGTTTGGGCAATTTTCCTGGGTTTCCTTTCATTTCTGATACGAAGCCGGGGGAGGGGAGAAGACAATAGTGGCAAACATTCCAGAGGGGAGGAAGTAGTTCTAAAACTTTGATTTGCATTGGTTGTTCCTTTGGCTACTGAAGACAGGCAGCAAAGTAAGCTTTCTGACTGTGTGCCTGGGAAACCTGTAGTGCCTAGGATGTGTTCAGCAGCAGTGCAATCTAGTCCATATTTGTTAAACAATGCCGTAGAGTAAGTACAATTTATACCACAGGTGACTTCTGTAATTACTGTGCTTTAAAATGGATTATTTCATTTTCACTTGAAACTGACCTATGTATTAACGTATTACAATAATTACATGATTTGTGGTAAAGGAAATGGGTTTTGGCTCTTAGCAGAGACTGCTGGAAGCAAGCTGTACTCTTTCAAGTGCATCCATTGGTTCTAGTTTGTATAGGATGTGAGGGTTTGGCTTTTAGGAGCTATGTTCCATTAAGCAGGTATCCTGCTCTACTGAAGGCGCTTTTTTCCCTGTATAGGTGAAAACAAACCCACCTGTGGAGTTGAGAGCATGTCCAGGCTCCAGGAGCACATTTTGCCATCCGTAGAGACAGTAATGAGATTGTGTGCATTCTGTGTTCCAACCACATTCACGCAATACACAGGATGCTGAAAACACATTAACACTGGAAATCAGAGAGCCATTATCACATCTTCACAAACAAATTTCTCATGTCTCATATGTTATTTTAAAGAATTATTAAGTAGTCACATAATGCCTGGAAAATACTTGACTCAGTTTTTGCCAGATAGGAATTGGGGTTTTGTTTGGTTTTGTTTATAGTTTTTTTCTTTTTTTAATTTTAACAGGTATCTTATGGAGGTGGAAATGTTTTCGAAGTTTCATTTTCCTCATAATAAAACAACCCATCTGAGTAATGCTGCGAAAATAGTGAATTATATGGATGAGATTTCACCCACAGGGACATGTATCTTTCTACTGATGGCTTTTGACACTGAAAATAACTGGCAGAGAGAGGGAAATTGTCCAAATGGAATAAAAATGAAAACTTTACTCAAGAAAACAGCTGCATAAAACTTGAACTATTTTAGAATTTGGCTTCCATGATAAATATTTGCAAATGTACTCCAGTTAAAAAACATGAATGAGACCATCAGCATTCTCCAGCACTGGCCAATGTATATTTTAAAATCTGTCATTACAAATGTGGAGTGACTAAATTTAGGCCGTTACACCTGGTTCACCATAGCATAGTCACTCCTTGGAGGCTGAATTCCACTTAGTATGCAATAATGAAACTTGGCCTGTTCCTTTTTCAAGGAACCTGGTAATATTTTGAGCCTAAACTGTCATCTGATATCTGATGGTGACATATGAGGGATGGTTCACGTTCGGCAATCTCCAGAGTGAAAAATCAGTCAGACTGAACAATAGAATTTAATTCCCTTTGACCAGTACAATGACACTGTTGAATTAATGGTGAGACATACGCAAGTCAAGCAAAGAAAAATTTTATTTCTCTGCCTCTGTTGCCAATGAATAGAAGACCTGTGTCTCCAGAAAGAAAAAAAATACTTTTCACTAATACTTTCCTTATTTAAAGAAAATTAGGACCAGCTTACAAGAGGTCCCTATAGAGCCAACTCCATGTATGGTTATAAACCTAGCATTTGCTCCTGCTAAAAGTAATGGCAGACCTAACACTTA